TATCATGTAGTTGTAGATCCTATGCTCTTTGGTCATCTTGCGCATCGAGTAAGGCTTCATCATGTTTGTCCGCATCGTGAACGCATAATCAGCCAAAAAGAAATATGGCATGTCCCTGTCGTCATTTGGTAGGGGGTCTGCTGGAGGAAGACAAATGGTCCCATCTACTAGGCACTCCTTCAGCTCTGAATCATTGAAGATCTGTGCATCTGACATGTGTCCGTGCCCTCCAACATCTATCCAGAGGAACTTATAGTCCGCATCGACGAGGCCCATTAGAACAATGGAAAAGAAGCCTTTATAGTTGTGATAAAGGCTTCCACTGTTTGCTGGCTTTCTGCAGGCAACATGTTTTCCATCAAGGGCTCCACAGACATGAGGGAAGTTCCATCTACGTGCAAATATTTTAGCAACGGCACGCCCTTCTTCAGGGGAGATTGGACAGCTGATGACTTCCTCCTTGTACTCATCTACGATGGGCTTGCAGACTTCTCGTACTAGGACAGACATGGTGTTATGAGGAACTTTGAAGTCAAACTTTATACTGGCGTACTTGCTACCGGTTGCTAGGTGGCGCATAGTAAGTGCAATCTTCAAACCTGGTTCCATAGCCTTCCTATACATGGTGTCTTGTTTGGTGCATCTTGGACCAAGTCTTGCCAGGAGTTCATCAAACATCTTTGGTTGTACTCTCAGGAAATTAAAGAAGGATGCAGGATCTTCGTGTCGTAGCTCGGCCATTAGGCAGTGATAGTCGCCAAACTGAACTCTTCTCCCCACGTCTAACCATGGTCAAACCCAGCATCTCCTCTCCCTTCTTTTCCTCCTCCTTCTTCTCCTTCTATTGATGTTGACAAGGTCTGGTCATCTTGTGCCTGCATATGTGCTAACTGTAGTACAATTAGCACATTCTGCCTGTCTGCGGCCATGGTGAAGAGCAGATGCACACTGATTGTGTATAGAAGATGAAGCTGTATTTATACAAAAATATGTGTGTGTGGGGGGGGGGGGTCAATGGAAGTGGGATCGTAATAAGAACGCTCTGTGAGCCTATTGCAACCGTGGGAACAACGCCTTGGCCGTATTACGAGCGTCATAGTCTCAGTAGCAGCGCAGTGTGGACGTAGAATGAGCGGAAACAAGCACAGAAAGCGTATTGGAAGCGCAGTAACGGCGCAATAAGAACGGGAGAGGCACGTATGGAGAGCCCAATGAGCGTACAGCAGTCGCAAACCAGTCGCAGGGGACGATTTCTGCGACCCCAAGTCGCTTCTATGCGTTGATGCTACGTCCACGATACGCTCATGCAGTTCGCTTTGAGCTGCCACGGCGACTGTACTGCGTCATTACACCGCTCATTACAGAGCGCCGACCCGCTGCGCTTGTTTTGATTCAGACCAACACAAGCGCCGAGGTTTGGCGCTCAAGGTAGCTCAAGGCGACCCTCTTCCGTCCTTGACAGTTTCCACTGCGTCTCAACCAGTTACCAACTCGTTCTCAGAGACCTTACTGCGCTTTTCCTCGCGCTTTCATACTTTTCAGCTCGCAGTGGGAGCGCGAACGTGATCGCGGGAAGGTGTGACAGGGGTATAATGGACAGCATGAAACTAAGAAACGAGCGATGCCTATTTGCGAGACTCCTGTTTGGGATGCTGGAGTAGCCACGTCTAGCCGATTGTCCATAGGGGAATCCGGAAAATTAATCACAGGAAAATTTGAAACAGATAGTAAGCCTCGGTTTGTATTGTAACCACAAAGAGGACAGAGGTGGGAGCAGGGAAGGAGGAGCATTACATTACATAGACTAAGAATATCAACAATACAATCATAGATCTACAATCAGAAAACTTGACATGAAAAATCGAAACCGTACTATGTCTAATGTGTAGTGTCTTTTTTAGAAAAAGCACAATTTGGGATTAAGAGTTCACATCCATAAACAGACAGAAAACTTGCGCACACGCACGCACACACACGCACGCACACACACACGCACGTACGCACGCACGCACGCACATCGTTAAATCAATGTTACCGCTGAGGTAAGTTTACTGATATAGAAGTTTACTTTTCTGTTTACGGATGGGAACTTTCAATTCCAGATTGTGCTGTCTCATTCTTTTCATGTCGGAATACTGTCTGATTCATTCAGAGTACTGTACTATGTTTATGCCCAATATAAGTTACAGCCGATGATAGCTTTGTGCTCGTGCACTGATGCAGGCTTTGTGTGCGGCGCAACGCGGGAAGAACCTGGTCTCACGTCACAGCCGTTTTCCCGCCAGGTGGCCGGTTTGGCAGAAGATTTGATTGACACATGAACATTCATAGACCCAACATAAAGACGTGTTTTAAATATCACAGAGGCAACTAAAAAACATACGAATGCTTTGGTTATTTACGTTATGATACTAGCATCAAATAATTGTAAAAATTAGACAGTTTATAGATATCACTAAAGGAGGCCTTTAAACAGTTTGCCTGGAGTGCTGTTAAGGTTCAGAGAAAATTATGTAGCCTTATGCGCCGATATCTCAAAGATGTACCACAGAGTGCTCATTCCAGAGAGTGATCAACACGTACACAGGTTCCTTTGGAGGAACATGGATATGAGTAGAACACCAGACGTGTATATCATGAAGGTAGTAACCTTTGGAGACAAGCCTGCAGCGGCAATGGCGCAGATTGCTCTCAAGATGACAGCAAAAGAAGGGAAGAGTACACACCCAGAAGCAGCCAATGTCCTCCAACGAAATGTGTACATGGAAGATATTTGTGAGTCGGTCAGGACGATTCCTGAAGCGGAGAAGCTCCAGTGATATAGACGAGCTATTAGCTGAAGGTGGCTTCAAAGTCAAGGGGTGGATATCAAATGAGCCACTACATGGAGACAGCAAGGAAGGTGAAATGAAGCTACTAGAAGCCCTTGCTGAAGAGAAAGTGCTGGGTGTCGTGTGGGACAAGAAAGAAGACGCCTTCTCATACCGAGTGAAGTTCCATGAAGGGATGATGCCGTCAACTGATGAGGGAGAGGACCATCTGAAGCTCACCAAAAGGAAGATTCTAAGCCAAGTAGCCCGTGTTTTTGACCCCATTGGCTTTGCAGCTCCAATCATTGCACGCGCTAAGATGGGTCTACAGAGGCTATGGCAGATGGGCCTTGGATGGGACGATCCACTAACGGAGAAAGAGCAAGCTGAATGGATCAAGCTGTTTAAGGAGATGAAGTTGCTTCACGATGTCAAGCTAGAGAGATGTCTTACGCCATCCAACGCAAGAGGCAAGCCAGTTCTATGCATTTTCAGTGATGCGTCGGAAAAGGCATATGGTACGTGTGCGTACCTAAGATGGCAGACTGAGGATGACAAGTACGATGTGCGGTTCGTGGCGGCAAAGTCAAAGGTAGCGCCGCTTAAGACATTGACGATACCTCGTCTGGAGCTTTAAGCGGCGGTGTTAACCTCGACTGTACTAAGCAATCAATGATGAAATGAGAGTGGAAGTAGCGAAGGTGATATTCTTCGTCGACAGTATGATTGCGTTCCACTGGATCAAATCTCCTGCTAGAGGCTTCAAAGCATTTGTGTCCAGCAGAGTGGGAGAAATTCAAGGTCTAACAGATCCTTGGAACTATTTAGGAACTATGAATGCTGCTGATGATGTATCCAGAGGAGTAGCGGCCGAGAAACTGGCAGAAGTATGGAAGCAGGGTCCTAGCTTTCTCTACACTGACGAAGCAGAATGGCCAGTAGATGAGCCTGAAGCAGATCAGCGGTCTGTTGAGGTAGAGAAGAAGAAATCGCCAGCCGTGCTTACAGTGTATGAGACAAGCGATGTGATAGATTGCACACGGTTTTCCAGTTGGAGGAAATTACTGAGAGTGACAGCTTACGTGATGAGATTCGTAGGCATGCTGAAGTCCAGAATCCAGAAGGGGTCTCCACCCGACGACAAAACGGCTGTAACCACTATCGAGTTAAAGAGAGCTGAAATGTACTGGATAAAGGTAGTACAGGGGAGGATCAAGCCACGCTTCAAGAGGGGGGACTTCAAGGTGCTCACTCCTTTCATCGACGAGGAAGGAGTGATCAGAGTTGGAGGTAGAGTGGGAAACATGGTCACATCATACGAGTCTAAGCATCCCATCCTGCTCCCATTTGACCATGGCATATCACTGCTGATTACTCGATACACGCACGAAGCGGGTCATCATGGTGTAGCAGCGACGACGGCCAAGACACGGAGGAGGTTCTGGATCTTGAAGGGGCACCGGCTTGCTAAGTCTGTAAAGCACCGTTGTGTGGTATGCAGAGCAGCTGCATGCCAGGGAGAGACGCAGATGATGGCCAGCTTGCCCAGTAGCAGAGTAGCTCCGTTCACGCCGCTATTCCACTTCACGTCGTGTGACTACTTCGGCCCATATCAAGTGAAAGTGGGTCGAAACAAGAAATCGAAGTACTATGGTGTGATATTTACCTGTTTGAACACCAGAGCTGTTCATCTTGAGCTTGCAGTAGACTGTTCAACACAGGAGTTTCTGCAGGTTCTCCGGAGGTTTTTCGCGCTTCGAGGCCATCCGAAGGTCGTCATGAGCGATAACGGTACTCAGTTCGCTCCCACTTCGCAACCCACCTCAGTTCGTGGGTGCCCAGCGTAAGCTACGGGAGATGGTGAAAGGATGGAGCAGCGTAAAACTTCGAGAATTCTGCGCAGAGAAGGGAGTTGAATGGCAGTTCACCACACCGTTAGCTCCACACCAAAACGGATGCGCCGAATCTCTTGTTAAAAGTTGCAAGTTTGCCCGATGGAAGGCCATAGGTAGTCAGTGTCTAGCACCGTTTGAGTTGTATACATGTTTGGTAGAGATAGCAAGCCTTGTTAACCAGCGTCCCATCGGTAGAATACCAAATGACCTAGACGACGATAGTTACATATGTCACAATGATATGTTGTTAGGGAGAGCGTCGCGAATCGTACCACAAGGTCCGTTTAGGGAGACAGAGAATCCGCGTCATCGCGTTGAGTTTGTACAGCGCATAGTCGATTCGTTCTGGAGACGTTGGTCGCGGGACGTTCTTCCGCTCCTTGTTCCCACAAGGAAATGGAACACCGAGCGTCGTAATGTTCGTGTTGGAGACGTTGTCATGCTTGCAGAAGCGAATGCGGTTCGTGGAAAGTGGACACTCGCTAGGGTGATGCAAGTATACCCTGGTGCCGATGGTCGAGTTAGGAACGTACAGTTGAAAACCGCGGCGGGCGTTTATCGCAGACCGGTTACCAAGATCGCGGTTATCTATCCCGCAGAGGGGTACGATGATTTAGTGTAAATATGTGTGTATGTTAATGTGTGTAGGTCTTGACATGAGGCTAAAGTGTGTATGAGGAAAAGTCCTCATCCGGGGGGAGGATGTTTCGCTGAGCGAAAAGTTTTGTTGTGGTTATTAGAATTTTTGTTTATTATAATGGCAGGAAAGCCGGATATTTATAGGTTTGGCTGCGGTGAAGCGTTTAAGATTTATAGCAGGTTTAAACGGCGATTATGTTAGGGTTTTTGACTACACCAGTGCACTACGTCACGGGCGGCCGATACGACTCGATCACGTGTAGGTTCGAAGCCGTTTTATTCACTGGCTCTACTTGCGATTTGTGTCTGCCAGCGTCAAGTCACTGTGAATAAGCTTTCCAATTTTTTCCCCGAATTTTACCGTTTTGTGCTGTGTGAAGGGGACACACGTAAGCCTAGCATTGCGGCAGTAGACTGCTTAGTTCCGGCCAAAGAAGTGAGTTTATAAGTGTGTAAAGGGATATGTTTAATTTTGGTCATTCATGTAAACACGTGTGTGAGAATGTATACTTGTAAGTGCTATGCCAGCGACATTGCCATAGGATTTGTTGCCGCTTGGTACAGAGTATAAGGCGATTTAAATTTATGCTTAGTGTACACTGTACAACTACAAGCAGTATGTGTGCAAAGATAGAATATGCATTAGGAGATACAGTGTAGTGAAATATGCGTTTAGTTAGAATTTACGATAGGAATAGTGATTACATATCAGAGTCAATGTTTATAGTTTAGGATTTGTTTATTGAGATAGACTTGCAAAGTATATTAGGCAAGTATGCTATGTTACACAAGCACAGAAAGAAGGACACAAAAGAAACTTTAATTGTGCAATAATTATTAATTTATGGTATTTTGTATGTATATAATTTTTATTCCAGATTGAATTATCAGTCTTCACTGTCTTCAATACATCACAAATGAAAGCAAATAAAGACATTTGAAGCAATCCAATTTTGAGCTTGAGCTTTGTTAATTTTCGTGGTCAGCGCGCAAAATATCCTTAAAAATATCACATGACACACAAAATTGGATGTCCATTGGATGGCTATTTTTAATTTCATGTGACAGCGGCGCTGTACGCAGTGTTTCTGTATGTTTTGCTCAGCTGTGTGCTGTGTCGGGTGGCGTGTGTGCGCTTGCTTGCCGAGCAGAACGCGAAACGCTGGAAAAACAAAATTTCCCGTTTTGCTTGGGTGTGTGCGCTAGGCTTAAGAATTAACGGCAGAAATATAACAATGGGATTCAAACAAAACGTTTTGCTTAAAGACCCCTTCCAGCAGGTGATGATCAGTAACACTGCATGCAGAGTTCGACGCGTATAGTGTTACCATTTTCCAATTAAGCTAAATTCATCCATAATAATGAGAGCGCGCGTGTCTCATTCAGATTGAAACGCAGCCAGGGGCGTAGCCAGTATGTAGCACTGTAGGCCCGGGCCTACACTTTTTTTGCCAAGTTATCTTTTTTTTTTAAACACCCCTAATTCAAATCCATAAGCTTGCTGGACGAGTTTAAGAGTCTAGACAGGAAAAACTATTGAAATGAACGTAGCAAGAATATGGCTAAATTAGGTGACCTATTCTTCTGTCATCTAGGCTGTCATTTCTATCGCGTGCCGTTTCATTCAACACTCTACCCGCCGAAAAAGACTAGGATCCGATCTTGTCAGTTTTTTAACATCTTAACTCGTTCGTAACACTATTTTAACTCGTTTGTTTTTTGGGTTTAAAAGTGATATTGAATGAGGTGTCTCAAGTTAGCAAGAGGCCAGGGAACCAGAATGAACACTCGGGAATTCAGCTAATACAATGACTGCGTCAGCTAATACAATGACTGCGGCAGCTAATACAATGACGGCGTCAGCTAATACAATGACTGCGTCAGCTAATACTATGACTACCTTAGATAATACAATGATTACATAAGCTAATACAATGAACTTAAGCAGATATAAAGACTACGTAAGCTAATACAATGACTGCGTCAGCTAATAAAATGACTGCGTCAGCTAATACAATGACGGCGTCAGCTAATACAATGACTGCGTAGCTAATACAATGACTACCTTAAATAATACAATGACTACGTTAGCTTATGCAATGGCTACGTTAGCTTATACAATATCTACATTAGCTTATACAATGGCCACGCCAGCTTATACAATGTCTACGTTAACTCATACAATGTCTACGTTAGCTTATACAATATCTACGTTAACTCATACAATTACTACGTTAGCTTATACAATGTCTACGTACGTTAGTTTATACAATGTCTACGTTAGCTTATACAATGTCTACGTTAGCTTATACAATGTCTACGTTAGATATACAATGGCTACGTCAGCTAATATGATAACTGCGGATCTATGCTATTTCTACCACAGCGTCAACCCGGTTGCTTTGGCAGCCAAACATTTTCTTTACTGCATTTCTCAATGGGGTAATCCTTCCGCCATACAATAGAGTGTTCGCGGCGCTATTCAAATAAGCCATATATACAAGAAAGATATTCACACTGAAGCTGTACGACTCTGGGTTCTTCTTTGCGTACAGGCTCGCCAGTAAGTATGGCGCCCAAGTAAGAAAAAATACGCCCGCGGTAGTAACGATGGTAATGATAGTTTTTACTTCATATTTTTCGTTGGGACGGGCTTGGTTTTCTCGCGGAAAATGTGCCACTTCATTGCGCAGTTTTACCGCGTGTGATCGTGCGACGATGAATAAGTGTCCGTAGAGACAGATTAATATGATAAGTGGAACTATCAACAATCCCCCGACTGCGGCTTCTATCGTTCGTTGAGTAAAAGTGTACGGCACGGTACCCATGGGAAATGGCAATACACTAGTGTGCGTCTCTAAACCAAACATCCCCATACAAAAGATAAACACAGAAGAGTAGGCTATTATCGAAGCAACCGCAAAATACGCTCTTCTCGTCGTCACGATCTGGGTGTACGCAAGAGAATACACAATCATTATGTACATGTCTGCGGAAACACACAGCATGCTTCCAACCGAAATATTTATCAGGAAAATCATGACCATATAGTATATTACGGAAGCAAGAGAATTGACTGACTTATTCAATATAATCACAACATTGCAAACACTAACAGCGCCAATACCCATATCAGCTGCTGAAAGACAAGAGATAAAAATATATTTAGCTTCATTTAGATCGTTTTGGCGATATATGGCAGCAATAAGAATACCATTAGCAACAATAACACTAATACTGAATACAAGCAGTCCTGTAAAATATATTGTAGTCCACTTCCCCACAATAACGGCGTGTGTCGCGTTGAATGACTCCGTCATATTTCCAAACGAAAAATTGTAGCAAGTGACGTCGGTCATATTTTTGTACTCGGTATAACTGTCATTTGCGCCAAAGATGTGGTCCATTATATTCTTGCCAGTGATGACGTTATCTATGCTGTCGTTGGCGGAGGTGATGACGAGATATGGATGTTAGAGACGTAATGCCGTACGACGCCACGTTGGGCGATATTCCCGACTGACGTATCTGGTTGCTTTGGATACTAGCCTGGTAAACTGAAAAACCATGCAAAATGCCAAGACCCAAAACTCCATTCTCCGCTCCTCTCTCTCTCTATGTATACTATCATGTAGTATATATATATTATTTACGTATATATATATATAATATCTAATATCATGGGTTAATATTGACAAATTTGTGGCTATTACCTTGGATAGATATCAGGAGGTACAGTAATAGGGAGGATGGTGACAAAACAATAAAGCAAGGGAATTCGTCATTTACTAGCCTTATAAACCTCACCGTTTCCTAAGACTGAAGCGCGTAAACGCAATCCAAACTTGAGCTCAAATCGTACACAGTGCATCCTCTGCCATCGGTGAAATCGTTTCGCTAGTATACACCGCTTCAATCGGAATACAGACAAAACGTACCAGCACGATTTTCAGTATGCTGTTCCAGCAAAATCCATGTGGCGATAAGCTAATTTGAAACCAAAGGCAAACTACTAACGCACACTGTCCGCGCCTTGCGCTCACGGAAGCGAGGCGCTGTGCTTCGCAGGGAAGATTGCACGTGAGCAGAGTCTAACACACGATTTACTGTTATTGATAGACTCATGATGTGGCTAGTGGTGGGCGCGTAGGCTTTATACACGCCTGCCGAGCTTGGAGCTGCAGAGGCTGCTTCAGATTGCGGTGGGGGGTGCATACCAGCTGTGCAAATAGGGTAAAGCAAAGGTTATCTGCGCCGAGGTTGGCGTTGATGCCATAATCACACTGCGGATCCACAACGCCTCGCGGTGAGCA